TTCATTTCCCATCTGAATTGCAAAAAGGGGAATTTCATGAGTCCCAAACTCTCCAAGGCTGAGAATTCCAAGCAGAGCTCTGGATCGGAGGGTTGTAGTGACTGTTTCACTCCCTACTGTGGGGTCCAGAGGTAGTCTGGGTGAGGGTTTCATGACAATTATTAAAGCATTATGAAATGACTACCCACTGCCATCAAGTCAACTCCGACTCCTAGAGACCCTATAGTAGACCTACCCCCTAGGGTTTCCAAGGTGTAACCTTAATGGAAATAGACTGCCGGATCTTTCTCCTGTAGAGCAGCTGGTGGGTTCAAATTGCTGACTTTTGAGTTCACAGAGCTTTAAACCACGGTGTCACCAGGGCTACACCCATTTAAATGGTACACCTAAAACATGGGGTACTTTCTGTTTCCTGTATAATGCCTCCTAAGTTCTTTGTTAGGGTGATTGGTAAGTCATAAAATAAGAGAAAACAATCAGTCTTGTTGACAATTGTATCCCCATCGGGTAGCATGTTTATCACATAGTCCCAAACCAAAAACCAAACACACTGCTGTTGAATCGATCCTGACTCATAGCGATTCTCTTTGGGTTTCTGAGGCAGTAAATCTTTACGGAAGTAGATCACCCAGTCTTCCTTCTGTGGAGTGGCTCATGGGTTTGAACCTCCAGCCTTCTGGCTAACAGTCAAATGCTTTAGGCACTATGCCACCAGAGCTCCTTTATCACATAGTAGGCATTCAATAAATAATTGCTGAATAAATTATGAATGACTTTTTTTAAAATTCTCTAAACATCATCAGTTGCAAATGGGGGAATAGAAGTGGATGTGGGAAGGGGTGCTGCTAGGAAAAATCAATTTATTATCACTCTCATCTTTTTTCACAGCATGTTGGATAAATACAAATATCTTTAAATGGCCTTCAAGGCCCTTGATAGTCTGTTTCTACCTATTCTGGGGCCACGTCTTATGCCATACTCCGCACATGCTCTCTTGGCCTTCTTGCCATTCCTCCCACCCCCAGGCGTCAGTACATACACTTCCCTCTGCCCCTTACTGCTTTAAGCCCTACGCTTTCTGCACATTTTCACTCAGTCATCACTCTTCAAAGAAGCCTACCCTTGACTTCCAGTTGTGTGTTGTTGAGTCAATTCTGACTCATAGCGACCCTCTATGACATAGTAGAACTGTCCATAGAGTTTTCCAGGCCATAATCTTTATGGGAGCTGATTACCAGGTCTTTTCTCCTGTGAAAAACCAGTGGGTTCTAACTGTAAAACTTTCAGTTAGCAGCCAAGCACATAACCATTGCACCACAAGGCCCAATTTCCCTGTTACATTATCTCATAAGACCACATGACCTCTGTGGCACTTTGCTCAATGGTAGTTTTACATGCATTTCTTCAATTATTGTAATAATGTTTGTTTGCCTTATTTAAGTCCCATGAAGGCAAGGATTGGGTCAGTTATTATACTTGATATAAAGTAATCACTCAAATAGTTGGTGAAGAACTGAGTAAATTGATGAATGAAGAGAAGGAGGGAGAAAGTAAACTAAGAGCAGGGATTTTCTAAACATTTTCATTTGCTTCCAACCCCAAAGGAAGCAGGAAGAGTGCTATTATACTGTGGAGATTGCAATCAATGTCACAAAATGAAATGTATATGGGCTTCTGAATCCATGAGCCTCTGGAATTGTCGGCAATGGTGAGTGCCTATCCACGAGCACATGTGCATGGCTTCCAAGGCAAGAGCCCATAGCTATTTACAGGTTAAGAATCTTTGAGAGATTTAACATGAATATGTATAATTATATGGGAAGAAAAAGAAAACAAAGAGGAAATTTAGGAAAAAAAATTATAAAAAATAATGGGGAAACTCTATAGATAGAAACAGGATAGAAAACAGCTGAAATGATAATGAGCATGAAAGAAGATAAGGGGCCAGTTATTACTGAATTAATCCTTTAGACTTAATGGACCCAACTCTATGCAAGACCCTATGTTAGAACTTTCAGGGATTCCATGAACAGCCATACCTGATTTTTGCCTTCGTACTTAAAAGGGGAATGTCTTGGATAACTACTATTCAGGGTGAGTGGAATGAAAGATTCAAGAGAGGTTTAGGTGAAGCCATTCTCTAGCATAGAAAAAGGGAGATTACACATAACAGTAAAAGAAGATCATGGAAGGCTTCCTGGAGGAGGCTAACATTTCAATATGTCCTTGATGCAGGTAGGGTTTCAGGAATTTTTTAAATAGTTTTATTTATTTATTTTTTAAAACAGTTGCATTATTTATTCAATTATATTGTTGTGGTTTTTTAACAAAACTTTTTATTGTGGTTTGGGTGAAAGTTTACAGAGCAAATTGGTTTTCCATCCAACAGTTCATTTACATTTTATTTTGTGACATTGACTGCAATCTCCATGGTATAATAGCACTCTTCCTGCTTCCTCCCTGTGTTTCTCATTTCCATTCAAACTTCCTTCCTATCCCTTCCTGCCTACTGAGCTTTATTTCTGAGCAAATGCTGCCCTTCTGATCTCATATGGTTGATTGTTGTACCTCCCTGATGTTATTGTTCACCATATAGGCCTATCTGTTGTTTCACTGAAAGTTGAACCACAGAAGTAGTTCAGTTCCAGGGCTAAGGGTGTCTAAGGGCCATAGTTTCAGGGGTTCCACCAATCTCTGTCAAACCAGTACGTCTGGTCTTTCTTATGATTTTGATTTTTTGTTCCACATTTTTTTTCTCCAGGACCTCCTATTGTGATCTTTTTCAGAGAGGTCAGCAGAGGTAGCCGGGCACCATCTAGTTCTTCTGGTCTTAAGAGACGTGGAGGCTGGAGTTCATGTGGTCCATGACTCCTTTGGACCAATTGTTTCCTTGCATCTTTGATTTTTTTTTAACCCTTCTTTGCTCTAAGCAGGGATAGACCAATAGTTGTACCTTAGATGGTCACTCCCCAGCTTTTAAGACCTCAGTCACTACTCACCAGGGTAGGATGTAGAATGTTGACTCATGGACTATGTTATGCCAATTGGCCTAGGTGTCCAGATTTGGAGCATTTTTGCCTCCATGTTTCCCTTTTGGAGTTCACTTTCCCTCAGCTGCATCCTCCCCTCTCTGCTCTCTTCTGCTGTCTCACTGCACATACAACTCCAGACCTTTCTACATTTCCCCCACCCATCCCCTGGTAAAATCTGTTTTTCTCTAAAATATCTTTTCAGGGTTACAATGCTCAAAGTGAATCTGATTAGCAAAGTCATAGTTTGAAGATAAAAGTGCTAACTTTGCCTTTTTTCTTCCCAAATAAAAACTACATCTGACAACTGAGGCCTCCCAGACCCTCACTGAGAATTGTGAGGAGTATACAGATAGTGAGAGAGTTTATTTCCAACCCTAAAGGAAGCAGGAAGAGTGCTATTATACTGTGGGGATTGCAATCAATGTCACAGAATGAAATGTATATGAATTGTTGAGTGAAGAACCAGTATGCTCTGTAAATTTTCACCCAAATCACATTAAAAAGTTTTTTTAAAAAAAAAATAAATAAAATTGAATAAATAATAAATAAATTTCCCAGACACACCCAATTCAGCTCAGGCTGGGGGTTGCATAGGAGTTCCTAGGTGATATAAACCTTGGCTGCTAACCCAAAGGTTGGAGGCTCAAGTCCATCCAGAGGTACCTGGGAAGAAAAGCCTGGAGATCTGCTTCTGAGAAGTCAGTCATTGAAAACTGTGGAGCACACTTCTGCTCTGACACACACGGAGTCCCCATGAGTTGGAGCCCATTTGATGGCAGCAAAATTATTTAATCCAAAGCTGTGTTTTGGTTCTCAGTGCTGCTCTAACAGAAAAATACCACAAGTGGATGACTTTAACAAATAGGGATTTATTCCCTTACAGTTTAGGAGGCTAGAAGTCCAAGTTCAAAGTGCAGCTCTAAGGGCTGGGTGAAAGCCCCTTGATCTTGGGCTTCAGCTCTGCCTCTTGCCTCTGGCCCACTGAAGCTGGAGGTGTCTCTTAACTCAGGCAGCTGCTGACTGCAAACCCAAGGTCAACAAGTAAAATGGAACAGTCCCAAGATTACAAAGCAATATGGCAGGCCACTAATTTAAATCCATTAACAGTCCCAAGATCTACAGACAACATGGCAGGTCATTGAGATGAAGACTTGGCCAAATGCAGGATCCAATGTGCCAAAAAGCTCAAGACCTTTCTCAAAGAGTCTTCATACATACTAGAAGCAGATCACATCCTTAAGGCAGCTACTCAGCTGCGCATAGTAGATTCCACCATGGAGTTGATTCCCAGTTGCATCATGGGGAATCAATATATCCAGCTGCCCAGCCACTCAACCAGGCCCAGCCAAGGTGACACACAAACTTAACTACCACAGCTGGTATGGCTGATTATTTCCATGTGGAGTGCCAAACCTCACTGATGAGTTCGGGATACCCTGGAGTTTGTTGAGAAAGAATATGAGAGCATTGCCACAGATGGAGAAAGAACCCTGGGATGGATTGAATGTCTGCCTAGGAGGTGTTTGCCATACTTGAGGGACCTGGGGGGAGATTGCAATCTACATCCTCTGGGATGTGGAATGTCATCTCCAGCCTTACTCTTTAATGTGATGTCCTCAGAACAGCATCAGTGTCACAGAGGAGCCTGTCAGAAATGCAGAATCTCAGGCCCCACCGAGTCCTGCTCAAAGTCTGTGTGTTAACAAAATTCCAAGGCAGAGGGGATCCATACAAGTTTGAGTTACAGGAGTCTCCTGGGTCTTTGTGAAGGTCCTCACTGACTGCTGGCCTGGGTTCTCTCCCAGTGACTGGCGGGCCATTTCTTACAATACATTAGCAGGGATGGGATTAGCTCCCCGTGGGAATGGGGAACATTCTCATCACTCCTGTATTTGAGAGGTTTAATAATAGGGCTATTTTGTGCCAAACCACATTTCTGTCTTACCACCATGTGGCTTCTGTCCCCAGGCAATCTATAAGATGGTTTCATCTGTCATGAAAATGCCTGAAGATGAGTCAACCCCAGAGAAAAGGACAGAAAAGATCTTCCGCCAGATGGACACCAATAGAGATGGTAAGAGGCTTCTGGAGGGGTGGGGGAGTCCAGGCTGGGAGATGACCCTCAAGGACAAGATATCGGCCACAGGGAACTGGCTCAAGACAGGGAAGTGGCTCCCCCTATGTGCCCCTGGATGGACAAGAAGCAGGATGACCAGGTGATCCCTGGAGAGCTGATCCTTCCACAGAAAGTATTGGTAGCATAGTGCCTAAGGCACTTGACTGCTAACCAGAAGGCTGATGGTTCAAACCCACCAGCCACTCCTGGGAAGGAAGGTTGGACAATCTACTTCCGTAGTGATACTGCCTTGGAAACGCAAGGAGGGTAGCTATGAGTCAGGTCCGACTCGACAGCACATAACAACAACAACAACAACTATCCTTCAAGGCCATTCTCTACCCCAGACATAATAGGACAAATCTTGTGGAACAGAGAAGGAGGAGCCAGAGACACCACCTGAGCTATTACGTTGCTCATAGGCAGTATGTTAGGCATCTCCACTGAGACTCCAGTACAATGAGATCATAGAGCCCTGACTGAATTAGCATTCCCAGGAATGCATCTCACTGCTAAAAGCCCTGTGCTTTCCTAAGGGGGGGAAATGGTGTGTGTGTGTGTATGGTGTAGGGGGAGGTGGCAGTAAGGAAAGCCTTCAGATATGTCTTAGCCCAACAGCCAAGACATAGTGCTTCAGCTCAGTGCAGAAGAGCAGGCCCCCAGTGAACCTCTGGCCACTAGCTCTGTGAGCTTAAGAGGTGCTGAGCTCTTTTCCAGGACGTCCCTCTGTCACTATCATCACAGGGAGGTCCACTGATGCTCTCTGTGTCTGACCACTGGTCACTTACTTGAAGAGAGAAGGCTGGGGCCCACAGGGCAGTTAGCTCCCAGAACAACTCTGAGGCACACTGATAGTTAACCCAAGGGAGCTAGATTTCTACACAGAACCTAGGGCCTGTGCTGCTGTGTCCAGCTGGGATTTCCAGCTTCAGGGAACTTGGACGTGTGCATATGACCTCTCCTGTCTCCTTTCCCTTGTTTGTTTTGTTTCCTCTACAAAGTACCAGTACATCTATTACATCCTATTTTTCCTTTTGAACCTGGGCAAACTTGTCATTGTTTTAAGCATTGCACAGGCAGGGGTGTTGCTTATAAAAATGGGCCAGGACACAAGCCTAAGAAGAGCCGGTCTGAGAATAGGGGAAAAAAAAAAAAACTACCCTGTCTTTTTTCTTCAAGCAAGTAAGATGAATTTGATTAAACAAATTCCTCTGGGGGAAGATTTGCAGCTAAGGGAAAGACGTACTTGCTGGTATCTCTGAGGAGGGCCTCCAATAGATAGCACCCCCTCCTTCTACCCGAGTTTGGAACAAGTTAAGAAATAAAAGGGCAATTCAGTACCAATCATCATCAAGTTGACTCCAACTCATGGTGACCGTGTGTGTCAGAGTACATAGGGTTTTCCATGGCTGGTATTTTGAAAGTAGGTCACCAGGCTTTTCCCCAAAGCCCTCTGGGTGGATTGGAGCAGTCAGCAGCCAGCCAAGGACGTTAACCGTTTGCATCACCCTGGAATGTAATTGAGGCAAAAGGATGTAGCAGCGTTGGAGGATGTAGCTTCGTGTGAGAGCGGCTGGGCTGTGCCATGCTGGAGCAGGCTGGGGCACATGGGTATCCTCAGAGGACGGGGTGGGAGAGGTCCTCTCCGGGGGCAGCTCCTTCCACGAGAAAAAGAACGAGGGAGGGCAAAGCTGAGAAGAATGCCCAGTCAAGTAAATCACGTCACTCCCAGGGGCAAAGTAAGCAAAGAGGGGGATTTGCTCCCTGAGCACAGAAAGGAAGCACCAAGAACACAAAGGACACCATGCTGCCCCTGCCCTCCCTGTGACAATAGTGACACAGGGACCTCCTGGAAGAGAGCTCAGCACCTCTTAAGCTCACATGGGAAGGAAAGGGACACCCAGGCAGGGGAGGGATCCCAGGCTACTGAGCCTCTCTGCTCTAGCCTATCAAGGAGACCACCGTGATTAAAAGGAGGGACCCAGCCAGTCACTCCCCACCTTGCACATGTATCCCTGAACTTCCCTTCCTTCGGGTAGAGGCACAGTTGTCCTCACGTGTTGTCCAGAAGAACAACTGCTTATGTCCTGCCTCTGCCACATACAGGGGGAGGGACTCTTGCTGCAAACCAAAGGCCTACATGGTCAGGACTCAGGACCCAAGTGACCTCAAGGAGCCCGGAAATCTCCCGAGCAATGTTGCGGGAACTGCCTTGATGCCATGAGATCCCAGCTCCCCTTGTAAAGGCGAGAAGGCCATTCATTCAGCAAATAGTAAATGGAGCTGAAACAGGCATGGGCAGGGGTCATGCCAGGTTCATCCAGCACCCTCTCTCCAGCCCCGGCCCAGGACCTGCACATAGCAGACGCACACAAGTGTGATTGAATGAATGATTGCCCTGTGTAGGTGCTGGCCATGCAAGCGCAAACAAGAGCCCCGGCCTGTGGGGCTTAGCGTTCCCAGCGGGCGCCGGCATTGTACCCAGGAGAGATGAGTGCGGGGACAGCACAGCAGTCGTTAGGCTGCAGGGAGAGGCATGAGGTCGCTGCCCCCATCCCCACCCCCCTGAGATGCAAGAGGAAGAATGCAGGTTCATACGGATGTCCCCTGCTCACCTCTCCTCTTGCTTTCTAGGAAAACTCTCCCTGGAAGAGTTCATCCGAGGGGCCAAAAGTGACCCATCCATCGTGCGCCTCCTGCAGTGTGACCCGAGCAGTGCGGGCCAGTTCTGAAGTCCGTCCACTGGATCCCAGAGCTGCTCATCTTCCCTTTTGATTTTTCTTTTTAATCATTTTGCCAAACAATATTGATGGTGATGCTATCCCCCGTGCGGCCAGACGCGCCTTCCTCTGTGACGCCTTCTGCTTCTTTTGTTGTGGATGCTTCGTGGGAATGCCCAGTGCTCCAATGTGCTTGTTGAGAGCATGGACAGTGTTGTCGTACACAGACTTTGTGGTATTCGTTGTTCCAACGATGCTTAATCGATTATATATATATATATATTTTTTTTTTTTTTTTTTTTCGATCCTAATGTCTGTTCTGAAACCAGGACTTAGTGAGGCAAGAGAAGGGAACAAATCCAGCCCAGTGATTCTACCGCAGGCTTCAAGGGGCTTGTTTGAAAGACGGAAACGCTCTGCCTGGGTGGTGGTCACACCTCCCCCAGAAATGATGGACTCCCCAAGAACAAGTTACCTGCTGGGGCAAGGCTATGAAAGAGACCTGGGGAATTCCCCTGTGGGAGCCCACTCCACCCTCTTCCTCAGAAGGCTGTAGTTTCTAAGCTGTGAACATTTTAAGGCAAATAAATAGAAGAGAGGAAAAAGAGGGATCTCAGCTACTTTTTCCCAAAGTTTACATGAGTTGAGCTGATATGAGTTTCTTTGGAAATTAAACACAAATGGTAACTTATATTCCAAAACCAGACACATCTTGTTGCTGATTGTATTTTAAAAGAAAAAAAAAAAAAAAGACTACTGTATATAAAATTGGGTATTGCAGACCAAATTAAGTATTTTGCCTTGTTTAAATGCAATGCATGTTTAGTGAGTACTAATACAATCTTATTCCAGATGACTGTTTGTGAAGTAGCTTATTGTGAAGTAAGCCAGCTATGAATGTCCATGTCTTGTTTTAAAGTCCTACCTGTCTTTGCACAAATGCACCAATCAACTGGTATATTTCACATATTCCAGAAAAGTAAAACGTAACTATGACCAAGGCCCAAACTTCATTTTGAATGGTTTTCCAGAGTGGCAGTGCCTGGAGAATGGTAGGGCAGATGCAAATGAGACATGTCCACTGAAACACCAGAAGGTTAAATATGAGAGAGGAGAGGATGGTGACCTGCCCACCCAGCCCATCAGCTCACTGGTGGCATTAGATGGAGATGTGGTGCTGTTCTGAGCATGCCAATATTCTGTAGACCTGAAAAATAATAATAATAATAATAATATGCATACTCAGGATTTCCCACTGGTTCAAATATGTACGTGATTAGGGAGCCATATTTGAAATGTTCACTGTTCCATGCCCCAGCACTTTGAAGAGTCAAAGGCTGACTGATTCATGAAAGAAGACCTGGAAAAATGCTGCTGTGGTTTCCAAGGCCACTGCGGTAGTTATGTTTGTGTGTCAGCTTGGCTGGGCCTGGTTGAGTGGGTGGGCAGCTGGTGGTAGTTATTCCCTATGATGAGACTGGTAATCAACTCCATGGTGGGATCTACCACAAGCAGCTGAGTAGCTGCCTTTGGGATGTGGTCTGCTTCCTGTATATAAGGAGAAGCCTTGGGGATAGTCTCTAGCTTATGGCACACTTGGACCCTGCATGTAGCCGTGTCGTTGTGTCGTTGTTCGGCAACCTGCCATGCTCTGCCAACCTTGGGACTTACAAGGGACTTAAATTAACGGCCTGCCGTGTGGTTTGGTAACATCGGGACTGTGCCATTTTATTTGTCGACCTTGGGCTTATTAGCCTCAGCAGCCAGTAGCTAAGTGAAGAGATGCCTCTAGCTTCAGTGGGTCAGAAGCAAAAGGCAGAGCTGAAGCCCAAGGTTGAGTGGCTTTCACCCAGCCCCTAGCCTGGCACTTTGAACTCTGACTTCTAGCCTCCCAAACCATAACAAACTCTGGTTTGTTAAGGTCATCTCATTTGTGGTATATTCTTGTCAGAACAGTACTAGGTAGCCCAGAACAGAATTTGGTACCGAGAGAGTGGGGTTCTGCTCTGAGAGATATCTAAAATGTGGAAACAGGAGTGGAGTGCATCCTTGACCTGAGACGTTGGTAGAGAGACCCCGGCATATGGCATGACAGACAGCAGGAACAGAGCAAGAGACCAGCATGAGAGATGGCAGGAGCAGAGCTGAGAGAACTGTCATTAAACAGCAACAGGCTTACCAGCCCAAGGAGGAAAAAGCCGGGTGCCATTAGGTAGATGGCTTCCTGGCAGAGTGGGTTGCCTTCAGGCATTAATTGGTAGAGAAAACTGGCATAAAATGGAGTAGCAGGTTGGCTGGCCCACAGAGCAAGAAAGCTAAGTGTCCTTTGGGCAGAAAGATTTCTGGTGGAGTGGGTTGCCCTTGGGCATTAATTGGCAGAAGTGGAGAGACCAAGAAAACGGAAGCAGAGCTGCCTCAGTCTTAAAGGTAGGGCCATGGCCTTTGGGAGTAGAACCACCACAGCCCCCTAGGTTTCAAAGAGCCAGGCCTTCACCAATTTGGTTCTGGAGCATGGGGCTGCTCGTTCATGTGAGCTGGTGGGATGGAGTCATAGCCGCTGCCCAAGAGAGAGGGGGCAGGGCTGCTATGCCCAAGAGGGAGAGGAACAGGGCTGCCAGGCCAAGGGGGTGAGGTCACCACTTAGAGGGACTAAGGGACTGGAACCACCCAGTGGAGGAGATCTGTACAGATGCCAAGTTGACAAGGGGTGGAATTGTGGTAGTTATGTTTGTGTGTCAATTTGGCTGGGCCTGGTTGAGTGGCTGGGCAGCTGGTGGTAGTTATTTCCTATGATGAGACTGGTAATCAACTCCATGGTGGGACCTACCACAAGCAGCTGAGTAGCTGCCTTTGGGATGTGGTCTGCTTCCTGTATATAAGGAGAAGCCTTGGAGATTGTCTCTAGATTATGGCACGCTTGGACCCTGCATGTAGCTGTGTTGTTGTTCAGCAACCTGTCATGTTCTGCTGACCTTGGGACTTACAATGGACTTAAACTAATGGCCTGCCATGTGGTTTGGTAACATCGGGACTGTGCCATTTTATTTGTCGACCTTGGGCTTCTTAGCCTCAGCAGCCAGTAGCTGTCTGAATGAAGAGATGCCTCTAGCTTCAGTAGGCCAGGAGCAAGAGGCAGAGCTGCAGTCCAAGGTCAAGGGGCTTTCACCTAGCCCCTAGAGCCTGGCACTTTGAACTCGGACTTCCGGCCTCCCGAACTGCAAGAGAGTAAACTCCTATTTGTTAAGGCCATCCCATTTGTGCTATATTTTTATCAGAGCAGCACAGGGTAGCCCAGAACAGCCACCATGAGGAGCCCATTAGTATGTTCCATTATTATGTTCTTTGAATATAGACTCTGTTTCCAGAAGTGACAGCACAAGTTGAGTTGACATTTGGTCCGGTGACCTAGAATACATGAATTTGAACTGACAGTAAAAAGTAAAAATTGCTGATCACAGACAAGTTACATTCTTACAAATAGTTGGCATGGGAAGGCTCCAACACTCAAGGATGTAGATGCAGGACTTGCCACAAGAGAAGGCACAGAGGTCCCTAGTGAGTCTCTGCTACCAAGGGACTTCCTGTAGAACATGAACCATAGAAAGATAAAATTCATAAACACAAGGAAAATGAGGTGGAGTCCATTCTAACCTCTATGTTCTTGTGTATTAATTGAGTCCACTTTAACTGGTAACAAAAATCCCAATCCGTATGGTTGCCCAAAATGAACCAATTCTGCAGATTGGATTTTGAGACTCAGACTCAGTAAACTAATTTTCATAATCTTCCTCTGTCAATTCCTCATTGTAGTTCTATACCAGCACTTGGCCCTTCAAGTAGTCAAATCTGGTTTTGGAAAACAGGGAATTAATGGAAGACAGGGAGTGTGGAGTGAGTGAGGGCCATCACTCTTTATTGACAGCAGTCCAGGAATTGTACTCTACTTTTGCCTGCTCTCAAGTGAAGACCTAATTCCTCCTTTTACTTCTCCTTGTCTGGGTGGAATCAGTTAATATTAGGAAAAGCCTGCCTGGGATCCCTGGGATCCGCCCTCGGTTATGACATCTTGTTGAGCCAGACTCACTCTGTCCCTCAGAACCCAGAGATGGGGTGGGTAGTAGAGAAGAGGGTCTCCAGCTGTTCAGGAAAGAAAAAAAGAGCCAGACACATGGCTAATGAACACCAACACTCCCAGAATGTACTGACATAGTTCTCGTCCTGGCCTGCCACTGACCCTGTCTGTACTTTCTCGGGGGTTGTTTTTCTCTTTCTCTTTCTTCCCAGGAAGGCCTTTGTATGTCTTTAATCCAATGTACTAAAGTTTGTCCAAGGAACTGTACAGCATCCAGAAGGCTGAATGCCTAAAAGTTTATGTCACTCGCATACTGGGCTGTTCATTGTCATTGCTGTGTTCAGGGACCTCTGGAAATGGAGTCTGTTCTGTCTGAAATAAAGCCAGTCTGTGATGTTCGAGAGACTGGAATAAAGTGGCTTACAATCTGAAGGACTCTACCAAGTGCTCAGCTGTTCCATACCTTCCTTTGGGGTGGGGAAGGGATGCTGAAGATGCTGTCCCATCAGATGCCCCCAGGGGTGACTTTTCCACAGAGGGATCTTATTTGTAAATCACATGGAGTGGCCACTATATCAGTTGTTTTTTTGTCACTGTCTTGCCTAGCATTAAAGCATGTTTATTTAATATGATTGTCTGGAACATGAGATTATCATGGCTTATCTGCGGCCTCAGCTGAATCTGTATTTTATTGGGGCTCCAGGTTCTGCTACTGCCCTCCTCCTGGGTATATTTTCTGCCCTAGAGGGACACAGGAACCATGGTCTGTGAATAGATTGGCTGTGGCAGTCAACAAGGTGCCCATTCTCACTTTCCTTTATGGAACCTGCTGCAGGAAGCACAGAGGATCAATAGCTTCTGCTGCCACACCATTGTATCCACCTTGGTGCTCACTGAGGTCCTACTGTCCTGATGCTCACAGTCAATGACTGGGTGTGGGGGCAGGGTATTAGAACTGGGTTATACTTGCCCAAAGTGGGACCCTTCCAGTGTGTAGCCCTTGCTTACAGACTCCCCATCACCTTGGCTGAGACTTTCTTATAGCTGTGCTGTGGTCTAAGCCTTTTCCCACTCAATCCTTCTTCCTTACCTCTCACCTTTCACAGGTGTCAGACCTTCCTTGCAGTCGATAGGCTCACCCCATTTCCTCTTTTCTCCTTTCTCTTCCATAAGCGTTTTTCCTAATGTATCCACTTTGGGGAGGACTTGAAGTGACACAGTGACTCTGATTGACACTCCACAAACACAGCACTCAGACATTCAAGTTGGCAGCCTTCCCAAAGTGAGGCTCAGATTTGGTAGCCTCTCATTACAATGTGAATGTCTACGTGTAAGAAGGGTTTGTATTAGGATGGGGTAATGACAGAGCCCTGACACTCCCAGGGTAAACCTCTATTATTGTGCTGATTGATGATACTAGAGCATTGCCACTTTGCACATCTCCTTTGAAGACAGACTCCATCTAACTGCCTCTTTTTCCCAAGCATCTATCACAGTGCCTGGTCCATGGTAACTGAACTGAACTAAAATATAAGGAAGAAGGCGAGAACTGATACCAGATCCTGTGGCACTGATAATTGGTCATCCTTTCCTACCCAACCAGAGTCTCAAGTACAAAGAGGTGTGTAGAGGTGGCACACATGTTGAGCAAAGTTCACCAAACAACAGGACCATGGTTACCACAAGCCAAGGTCAGCCTCTGAGGAAATGTGGAGGCCAGCTTGGTAGACCATGCACTACAACATCCTATTGAAACTGTGGGACATGGATTATGACCAAAAGGCCATGTGGCCCCATTTCTGTCTCATGATCTCTCCAGAAGGCTCCTCAATAAGCACTTGCCCCAGCCTCCTCTCTGCCCACTGGTCCAGGCATAAATTTGGGGCGGGAGTTAGGCAGGGCAAGCTTCCTGAAGGCAAATTTTCAGCCAAGATTTGAAAGCTGTAGGTTTAGAGAGAGAAAGTGAGAGGTGGAAGAACATAGAACTACTACTTGTTTCCAACAGAAAAAGTCTTGGGAAGAAAATCATGGATAATGGTTAAAGGAATGTGTGTGGAAGTTAGCAGGGTGAATGACCACTGATGATGAAACACCAGTAAACACTGGAATAGTGAATCAAGGTGTTTGGGTTCGAGCCGACAGAGAATAGAGAGTCTGAGAGCTCCAGGGCAGGAGACTGTGATGAAATTGGAGTTTGAGCCATGTGATGTTAGTCTCTATGTAGAGAATGGCCCAAATGGACTAAGGTACCAAAGAGGTCTTGTGGGTCAAGTGGGGGTGAGTGAGCCTGGGAGTAAGGAAGGGTAGAAGTAAAGAGACTGAGCTAATTGTCTGTAGGTCACATTGAAGTCCTCTTGATTTCCTCAGCCCTCTTCTCATTTAGGAGTTCCTGTGTGACATAAAAGGTCAATGCACTCAGCTACTAACCAAAGGGTTGAAGGTTCAAGTCCACTCAGAGGTGCCTCTGAAGAAAAGCCCAGTGACCTGCTTCCAAAAAACCCTATGGAATACAATTCTGCTCACACACATGGGATCGCCATGAATTGAAGTTGACTCCATGGCAACGTTTTTTTCTTCTCATTTAACCTTGGGGTGGGGCCTGGCAATAAGAGGAAACACTCTTTGGTTCAAGCCCAGGGCCAGAAGGTGCCCAGGTCATCACAGGGGCTTCTCCCCTATCAGGCAAACAGCCCACCAGCCACCTCGAGGAAAGCAACAGACTCTACTTTTTACTCTGATGTTATGAATATTTATTTTTTTTCTTCTTAGAAATGTACAAAAAATAAAATAACTATTTATAGATTCCCCTCTCCCATTTACAAAACTATTAAGTTACATTTACCTTTTTGTTTTAATGTGAGAGCAAATTGTACATATATCAATCTCCCTTGCTTATCTTTAAGAAAGGGCCGTTCATAGAATTTGGCACAAACCCTCTATTTCTCTTGCATTTCCATGATTTTAAATAAGAAGAAAAATAAACATTTGATCATTTCATGCTTCTTAAGTCTCTGGTCTGGGATGTGTCTTCGTCTTTTAGGAACTAATCCCAAGGTGACTTCTGATTGTATTGTTCTGTTAGTCCCAATTTCCAAACACTTGTGAAGCCCAACCAATTTGGGATGTATAAGAAAAGCACTTGCTTCTCATGTCCACCATCTTCCACAGATGGAAAAGCTTAACTATGGAGTGTGATTTATTAAAAGGCAGAGGAGGCAGGGTCCCCTATCTTTCTGGAGTGTATTTCCTTGGGAATTGTTGCACAACAGGATTCACCAAAGCTAACAGGTACAGGCAAGGACACACTACAGTTAGTCATGGAAGCGCCAAGGAGGCGGGGTGGGGGGTGGGGAGTGTGTTAGATGGAAAAACTAGAGGATCAATGGGAGATAACACTCAGCACCAATGCTTGCTGGCCTCGTCTGTTTTCTTCTGGCAATGGTCACCACAATGACTGCTCAGGGGCTTAAGACAAATGGAAAAGCATCTCTGATTTGTCCTGCCTGAGGGTAGCCCCAGCAAACAGATTTCCAAAAAGGCTGCAGAAGAATAGGTATCCTGTGTTAGGCTATGAAATATTTTATTTGTGCTCCCTTACTCTGGAGCCCTATGCCCCAGCCCAATCATATTGGCTGTTACATCTGCCAACCATGTTTGAAACCATGTCTCACCCAAGGAGCATGGGAAGTGCATTGTACATCCTCTAGTTCCAACACTGAACTTCTCCATCTTAGAATACAGCCCCATTCATACCCAGGATGGTAACCATGCCTCAGTCAGGACATGATGGTCACTGAGTAGGGGAGTAAGGGACGGAGTTGGAGCAGAGTGGAATCCAGGAAGCAAACCCTTGGCACCACAGGGAGGGGTAATGTGCCCAGAGGACACACAGAAAGGTGCCGCGGCCCCCACCCAGAGGCCTTCCTGGACACAGCACCTGCTCTCTGGTCCATGACCTCCCCTGCAGCATCAGGGAGAAACAGCTGGGCTGGAGCAGCCACTCATCCTGCTCTGGGCCTCAGGACAGATGAAGTGGAGGGGCAGGGAGTCCTGAGAGGGGCCTGCAGGTAAGACGCCAAAGTGCTTTACAAACAACCTGGGCCTTTACATAGAACTTACCTTGTTGGGGGGATGTGTCAGGCTCCCCAAAAGCTAGTGCTTCAATCTTTAAGGGTGCGTGCACACCCCTCAGCCACTCACTTGTCCTCTCAAAGAGAACAACGGCCCACCATGATTCATGGCTACGTGTTTGTTTAGGAGGCATTTCTTCTCCTCCTCACCTCCCGGGCATGTAGCAGGGGTGCAAACTTTTGCTCTCCCAGGCCACCTCCTGAGGCTGGTGGCGGAAGAGAAAGCACTACTGGGGTGTTCTCACTCACTCAGCGGCTACTCAGGAGCAGCAATCCCTCCTTTCTTGGCACCTCCGGCAGCGGAGACCCAAGAAAAAGCCATGGCCTGCTGGTTGCTGCTGAGCAGTTGGCACTGCTCTGAAAACTGCAGTTGGGCTAAAGGAGCCACTTGAGATGAAGGACGTGCTTGTAAACTGTTAGGCACTACACAGTGTCCAGGATTCCCATCACTGCCAAGGAGTTCTGCAGCCGGCCCCAGTGACAGGGCCCTGAGGGCAAAACCCCTGCAGAGTCCTCTCCAAAAAGCTCAGGCAGCACCTAGTACCAGCCCTGGAGAAGAGCTGGAAGCATCAGGCAATATGACCTTTCTCAGAGACAGCTCAAAGGAAGAGTCAAGCAAAGCACATCACCAAGAGACTGAGGTGGCCTTGAGGGCAAGTCGTGGTCACAGAGAAGGAAATGACTTCCTTTGGGGACAGGGAAAATGTCTCAGGGCATGCCCTCTCAAGAGTCCATCGTGGCACCCTCCACAGTCCCCTGACATCCCGAAGGCCACTTCCCCAGCTCAGGATATTTCCTGAAGAGCTGGAAAGGCAGAAAGCCAAGTCTCAAGGTATGTGCCTCCCCTAGGACAGTGGCAGTAAACATGCCCACATACCATAGGTGAAATATATTATTGCAATATTATAAACATTATGTACATAATAGTCAGGCATAATTTCTTTGTCACCTACTAATTACACTGTAGCAGAATATCTTCCTGTACAAGTCCTCGTGGACACTTGCTGGAACCTCTGGAGGTATTGAGCAAGAAGACCTTCCCCAGAGCAGCCTGATGGTTTTTTTTCTGACCAGGAAGGGGGGCATCCACCTCTCAGCCCATCTGTGACTACCACACCAAGAAGTAGCTTGTTTAGTCCAGCCACTCAGGAGATATGGAGAGGTGAGAAAGAAGTAGAGAGAATGTTTCAGGCTCTCCAGGGTGAATCGATTGGCTGTGTTTCCCTCGAAGGAGTAGGCGCTGGATGGTGTCATCTGGAGCCAGTAATGACCTGCTAAGTCCTGGACCCCAGGCTCTTGGAAAAGGTGAGCAATAAATAAGGCCCAAGGCACCATTCTGAGGGGCTCAGGCTTCAGCTCCACAGGATGCCCCCTGGTGGACAGGACAAATACACAGACAGCAAATGGGGCTTTGTTCCTTGCCCTGTTGCCCAGGCAGTCTTGTAACAGCAATTGTGAGATGGGTGAGTTGGGTCTGTGGTTCTGGGGTCAGGGCCTCTGTCTCTCTCAAGGATGAAGGTACTGAGAGCTCCTGCTGAAGGGCTGTTGGGACCAGGGCTCAGATTTCCATGAGAGTGATCTTGAAACCTTCTACCATGCTCTCCATGTTGAGGATGAAAGTGTCCTCATTGGAGTAGTGCTCGATGATGTTGTCGTCCATGTTCACCAAGATGCTGTCAGGTGGGAAGGGGACGGGGGGGGGGGGGGGGGAGAGAAAAAAACTGCATGAGCAGGGTGCTAAGGCCAAGGGCAGCTCCTGAACAGTGCTCCCCACAGACATTCTTTTGCAACGGAGGCTGGGAGAGGTGCAGGAGAGAGGAAACAAGGCAGGAAAAGACGACTTTTGTTCTATTTTCTTTCTGCAGAGATTTGCAGTGAGATTTACAGCAAGCCTCAGTTTCTCAGAACTAACCTCACCACTGATAACTTTCATATGACTTCAGAGCAACCCAACCCTCTTATTTTATAGATTAGTAAATTGAGGTCCACAAAAGTTAGCAGAGCCCAAAATCAGAGTTAACACATGCCAGAGCAGAACCTAAATACTTAGTTTCCCTATTTTTATTAAACTATATTGCCTCTTGAAAATGAGTTTGAAAAAATGCTCTTAGGAGGAAGGGGAAAGTAAAGATTCACTGCAGCTGCCCTTTGTTGAGCACCTACTGTGTGCCAGTGTTTTAGGGAACTTGTATTTAATCCTCAAGGCAACCTCAAAAGTGCCATCATCGCCATTTGCAAATGAGAAAACAGCTAAATGAGGTTAAATCATTTCCCCACATTCATTCAGCTAGTACATGACTGAGCACTGTTCTGAAAGAACACTGCCTTACTCTCAAGCTCTTACCTTTACCACATGCTACTACTCATAGGAGTCCTTGGGTAGTGCAAACGGTTAATGTACTCAGCTACTAACCGAAAGGTTGGCGATTGGAGTCATGGCACTTTTGAGGTCGCCTTGAGGATTAAATACAAGTTCCCTAAAACATTGGCACACTGTATGTGCTCAACAAAGGGATGCCTTTGAAGGTGCATGAAAATCTACTTCTGGAAAATTAGCCATTGAAAACCCTCTGGGGCACAGATCCACTCTGACACATGTGGAGTCACCATGAGTTAGAGTTGATTTGAGGGCAACTGGTTTGCCTACTCCTTGGCTAGCTCTTTTCCCAGTGGATTTTGTTTTAAGAAAACCAACCAGGCTCTGTCCACAATTTAGACCACCTTGAGTCACTCCCCGTCTTAGAAGTCAGGCAGATCTTAGTTTGAGAATAAGAACTGACTCTATCATTCCACAGCTCTATGTCATCAAATGAGTTGTTTAGTCTCTCAGAGCCTCGGTTTATTCTTTTACAAAAATATATTAACAGCCTTGCTTTATAGGGTTGCTGTTAGGATTAAAGCTTTTAGCAGAGGGCTTTGACCCAGAGTTTAATGAAAGTGAAATGTTATCTTCATCGGTAGGTACATCTGCACTGAGGACTTCTGCTCAGCAGTAAAACCTGGAGACACTGCTCAAGTCTCACCATCAAAGGGATTCCTCCAGTCTGTTGCATTGTCCTTGGAAAGAAACTTTAAGAAGCATTTTAGTGAGCTTTCCAACAAGGGCTGAAGTGGAAAGGGTTTCTTGCTGGATTCCTAATCAACCAAGAGACCTGAGCTCTCTAGCCAATATTTTCAAGGAAGAGGTTCTGAGAAGATTCATTTTCTGCTTTTTGAAGAAAAACAGCTCGAGAAGCTGACTCAACAGAGCTGACTCTCATGGCGATAAATTCAAGTCTTGTAGTCACTACTCTCAGAACCTCACAAACAGAGGCCCCAGGAGGGGCTCAGAGGTAGTCAAAGAGTAAACATGATGGGTAAGAACTTAAACTTTCCAGTTACAGACCTGGGTTCAAATCCATGTGAACCTAAAGCAAGATGCTTCACCTCCCTCTGGCTCCGTTTTCCCATTAGTAAGTTAGAGAGTAAATGGAGCAACACATACAAGGCACTCAGCAGGAAGTCCAGCACCTACTGAATCTCAATAAATGAAAGCTATTGTGCTGAACAATGAGAACTAGCAAGATCATTTGAGATCATATTGAACCTTGGAAGAATCTCCTATGCCCTGTACCCTTTTATGTTCCTACTGTGCTATCTTCCAATAAACCTTGAGAGAACGTCACTCAGCAGAGGGGTGACTTTGGCATTATCCCAGTATCCACCACCCCAGCCCCTCTATTCTGCCCCATCATCTCAGCTCAGCTGATCTCATGACTACTTTCTTCCTCCCTCACTCTCTCATAGAAGATCTTCAAGATGCATTGCACTTGCATCCTGCTCTGGAACCATTTCATGCACAATTCTTATCAAAGGTAGATGACAATGCACATATTGTGGTAGTTATGTTTGTGTGTCAACTTGGCTGGGCCTGGTTGAGTGGCTGGGCAGCTGGCAATCAACTCCATGGTGAGATCTACCACAAGCAGCTGAGTAGCTGTCTTTGGGATGTGGTCTGCTTTCTGTGTATAAGGAGAAGCCTTGGGGATAGTCTCTAGCTTATGGCACGCTTGGATCCTGCATGTAGCCATGTCATTGTTCAGCAACCTGCCATGCTCTGCTAACCCTGGGACTTACAATGGATTTGAATTAATGGCCTGCTGTGTGGTTTGGTAACATCGGGACTGTGCCATTTTATTTGTCAACCTTGGGCTTGTTAGCCTCAGCAGCCAGTAGCTGCCTGGATGAAGAGATGCCTCTAGCTTCAGTGGGCCGGGAGCAAGAGCCAGAGCTGAAGCCCATAGTCAAGGGGCTTTCACACAGCCCCTAGAGCCTGGCACTTTGAACTTTGACTTAAAGCCTCTAGATGGTGAGAGAATAAACTCCTGTTTGTTAAGGCCATCCCATTTGTGATATATTCCTGTCAGAGCAGCACTAGGTAACCAGAATATATATATAAAAAATCACCACCTCATGTTGAAAAGGCATCATATAGATTTACAGGCATACCTCAGAGATATTGCAGGTTTATTTCCAGACCACCACAATAAACTTGCAATAAAGCAAGGCACACAAATTTTCTGGTTTGCCAATGTATACGAAAGTTGTTGTCGTTGTTGTTATGTGCCATCGAGTTGGATCCGACTCATACGAAAGTTATGTCTACATTATACTGTGGTCTATTAAGTGGGCAATAGCATTATGAAAAAGTCTGAAGTTGCAAGAATTACCAAAATGTGACTCAGGAGACGTAAAATGAGCACATGCTGTTGGAAAAATGGTGTCAATAGACTTGCTCAACACAGGATGACCACAAAGCCTCAATTAGTGAAAAACGCAGTATCTGCAAAGAACAGTAAAATGAAATATGCTTGTTTCTGGTATGGAAGTCAATTTCAGTTCAGTTTATTTCTTACCCTTTTTTGCTTTTCTTGTAAAGTTTTGCAATCTTCTCCACTGGCAGGCCATACTTCTCGGATATCTGTAACAACCGCAAAACAGTAGAGGAGTGTGGAAGAGCCCAAACAGAGTATCTGATCCAGATATTCCACATGTAATAATCTATTTAGTCTACAGAAATAAACTCAGATGTACACAAAGATGTTCAAAGCATCACCGCTTGTAACACAAAAAAACTATATAAAGCAAACATGCATTGAACACATTTTAATATTTTAACACTTAAATATTATGTAGGCAGTAAAAGAAATATGGGAAGCCTATATAAATTAACATGAAAAAAATGTCAGTGACATGTTAAGTGAAAAATATACCCATGGGTGTAATGTCATCCATTTGTATTAATAAATGTATATATGTAAATATATAGAAAATATTTGAAGAAGCCACCAATGTATTAACAATGACTACCTCTGGGAAATGGGCAGAAACAAGGAGATTCTTTTACTTTTGGTGCAAATCTGTAGTGCTTATTTTATTTTTACAAATTGTGTCTCCCTTTTATAAACACACAGCAATCAAAGTTTGAGAGATGGATTCTGGAAAAGACCTGCCCTCGATGTCTTCCCCACCAACAGTGTGTCAGTTTGTCACACTATGGTGCCTTACAAGTTGTTGTGATGCTGGAAGCTATGCCACTGGCATTTCAAATACCAGCAGGCATTTGTTACCCATGGTGGACATGTTTCTCAGGGTAGGTAGGCAGAACTCACACATTCCCACTGAGCTTAACCAACGTAGGACCCAGTCTGCCTTCTCTAGAGGCAGCAAACTTGCAGTCTGCTCTAGCAGCCAATTACTTCCATGTAGAGTTTCAGGTTCTTCAGGGCAGGCTGTGAGTTTTAAAAATCAGAGGGCTCTTATCTGTGAACTTCATAGGTGACAGGATTCAAGTGATGGTTTGCAGTATAATAATTCTTGATTCAACAGATTTCCTTTACAAATAGAGATATTTTTCTTACTAAGCATTCTCCTCTCTATTTGTTATCTTTACTTGTGAAAAATATAAAACCCTACAGATGAGGATATTATTTTGAAATTAAGAGCTGGAATGAAATACGGAGACCAGGGTCACACTGCCTTCTCATTCTACTCTAATGTGCAGGCTTGGCCTATGGGACACAAACATCATTTCTTGGGAACAACTTCCTGCCTCTGGGCTCGGGAGAGGAACTCCTCATGCAAATTCCGAAGTTTCAGATCCAGTTATGGTACCATTTCCACAGCTCTACCCTTCCTCTGAAATTTCAAATTAATGGGATATTTATACCATGAAATCATGAGCCAAAATAAATTTCCATTTTTTTTGGACAATGTCTACAGGAAGTCAAGAATATGAGAAATCTAAAATCTGAGGAAAGGAGGATGAAGTCCTCACATGAAGTCTTCACACTATGTCCTCTTTAGCTCTGATGCCTACTGGAAACAAAGTTTATCAATAAGTGCTAAACTAATATACACTCCAAGGAGCCTGGTGATGTAATGGTTAAGCATTCAGTGGCTAACTAGAAAGCCAGCAGTTCAAAATCCACCAGCTGCATAATGGCAAAAAACCTGGTGATAATGCTCCCATAAAGATTAAATTCACTGCTGTAGAGTTGATCCTATGGGACACTTCTACTCTGTCCTGTGGATTTGCTATGAGTTGGAATTAACACAATGGCACACAACAACAACGACATATACACCAGAAACCATGCAAAGAGTTTTATATCTATATTGGGTCATTTACTCCTCATATCAACCCTGTGAAGTAGGTGCCATTATTATTTCCATTTTAAGGGTGAAGAGACTTGAGCCCAGAGAGGTTAAGCAACTTGCCCAGTAAAAGGCACAGTCAGGTCTTGAACACAGGATCTCTGACCCACTGAGCTATACTGTCAGTCAGTGAAGTTCTGGTCCTTAGAGAACCCACGCCCTTTCTTAATACAGGTCCTGTATAAATTAGGACCATTAGTGAGCAGGATCCTGCATTTTCACAATTCTGCCTTCTCCCTTTCCAGTGTGCTCCAGTCTCCACATGAGCAGCACCTCATCCTTAGTGGCTGACCCCAAAGTGAAGGGTCCTTTGGCGTTTACCACAGATCGTTTTGTCAGAGGGTCCCCAAGGAGAATCTCTTGCCCAGTTTTCCCATCTACACCATTAGGGAAGCAAAGGCATAGCTAGCGCTGGTGTTTTAACAAAACCTTTTCTTTCCAGACTTAATAAAATCAGAATCGCTTAGGATCTGATCAGAGCTAGCTAGCCTAGGGAACTTGACCTTTCCATGGCTTACAAGGCCAAACAATACTATGCATTACTCTTTATTTTTTCTTTTAAGAGAATCATAGTATCATTTATTCAGTTTGTCGACAAAGCAGATATTAATGAAATATACAGAAAAGCAATCACTTAACATCCTATCACATCACTCTTGCCCCCAACTCACTCAGCTAACCAAAGCAAAGCAGGTGTAATGAGCTCTTCCTAAAAGGGATGAACCGCCCAGCTCTCCTACGGCAAGAAATGTACCCAGAGATCATTGGGCTGCTGTTTGGTGTGAGCGAGGGTGCCATTTAACCCCACTGGGGTCCAGCAAGATTGCAAGTAGGTCAGATTGGAAACTGCTACAGAACATTTTAGAACTGGCCAGATATCACGGACAGGAAAGAGAAGGCACCAAGGAGAAAGGCAAGACCTAAGGTAACATCAGTCAGGAGGTGGTCTAGAGCAGTGGCTCTCACACCTACCTGATCTCAGAATACCCTGGGGAGCTTGTTACAAATACAATTCCTGATCCCTCACACCCCGCCACCACCCCAGTTCAACAGAATCGGGATCTCAGGGATTGAGGTCTGGGGACATGCATTTCAAACAACTGGCTTGTTTCTTTTCATATTCATCACTCTCCCAGGTATGTCAGTTTTAGTAATATAGTATGAAGAACCAGATTAGGACTGTGAAATCCAAAGAACCTCAGAGAGGTCTGAATCTTTTATGAGCTTTTCTAGCTTATAAGTAGTCATTCAAGCAATTTTGAGGTCCGCAGACTCTAGTTCATTGAAAGAGATCTAGATTATCAGCACAATATCACGAAGGCAAAGGAAGACATGGAGGAGAGCACTGGAGTTACAGACAACACAGGGAAATGCCATTAAATACACAATCACGCAGTATCAGTAACAACAAACAATGATATATGAATGGATCCATAGACAGACAGGCAAGCTGAACAGGTATGGGTAGACAAACAGGACTATACCCACAATCTATATATGTTTGGCAGAGGATATTTCTACACATGTAGTTATAGTGCTGTAAATATATTCATGTGTATAGTAGAGCAATCGGGAACAAACACCTTGATGTAATAAATCACTGGACTTGAGGGCTTAGGACCACAGTCTCAGGGGACAGCTAACTTAGTTGACATAAAATAGTTTACAAAAACAATGTTCTACATCCTAGAATGGTGAGTAGTGACTGGGGTCTTAAATGCTAATGAGGCCATCTACAGTGCAACTATTGGTCTCTCTGCATCTGAAACAAAAGAAAATCAAAGACACATGGAAACAAGTAGTCCAAAGGGCTAATGGACCATGAGAACCTCAGTCTCCTCAACCCTGAGACAAGAACTAAATGGTGTCTGGCTACCACTAATGACCTCTCTGAAAGAGATCACAATAGAAGATCCTGGATGGAGTGGGAGGAAACTGTGCAACGAAACTCAAAATCCTACAAAAAGACCAGGCTCGCTGCCTTGATAGAGACTGGTGGAACCCCCAGGACTGTGGCCCTTAGTGACCCTTTGAGCCTGGAACCAAACTCACCCCAGTGGCTCCACTTTCAGCCAAGGAATACTCAGCCTATAAGGTGAACAATAACATTAAAAAGGTATGCACTCCTTAGAACAATCAGCCATACAAAACCAAAGGAGCAGCTTTTCCCAGGGATAAAACTCAGAGGGCAGGAAGGGATAGGAAAGAAGGACAAATGGAAATGCAAAACATAGGGAGGAAGTAGGAAGAGTGATATTACATTGTCGGGACTGCAGTAAATTCACAAAACAAAATGTGTCTGAATTGTTGAATAGAACACCAACATGCTCCATAAACAAGTGTTCACTCAAACCATCGTAAAAGTTTTTAAGAAAGGGGGCTCTAGATCCTGTTTTTTGGTTCATGCTGGTTTATTGTTCATTTCTGTTTTAATGTTTCCATTATGTCAGGCAGATTCAGTAGCAACAAACCCCATTCTCATGAAAAATTCCGTAGAACAGAAAAGATTACCAAGTCCTAGATCACTATTTCTTAAGAGCGTGGTCCTTGATGCACCTGCTTACAACTACTGGGGACTTGGTGACAATGGGGCAGCAAAAATTCTGCATTTTAACATCTAGCCCCAACCTAGATGCTGTTCCAGTGTAGCTGGTTTCCAGACCAACAAATGCATTGGAACTGTCCCTGGAAGTCATGTTGTGTCCATCACTACAAACCCTGCATCTTCTACACATGGTTGTACAGAAACTAAAAGGGGTAAGGCGTTGTTAGAAATCACATTCAAGGTGGAGTCATATTAAAGTCAGTCAGATGGAAATGGCCTAGTAAAATAACTTTCCCTGAGCTCAGGTTGGATAATACTAGACTAGATAGGGAGTGGGGATGGAGGGAGGGAGGGCCTGCTGTATCCTTCCTCAAATACTGTAATTCTGCAATATACATTTCCTTCTCACAATAAGGGGAGCTCTGGTAGCATAGTGCCTAAGGCACTTGACTGCTAACCAGAAGGCTGGCAGTTCAAACCCACCAGCCACTCCTCGGAAGGAAGATTGGGCAATCTACTTCCGTAGTGATACTGCCTCGGCAATGCACGGAGGGGTCGCTATGAGGCGGGTCCGACTCGACGGCACGTAACAACAATCTCACAATAAGAGGTCATATTTCTATTTTGGATTACACTATCACAGCTAGTGAGACACTTAATTGTTTTTGTTCTGTCCATATTTGGAAGTTAACATACCTAATTTGGTTTCATGCAAGAAGACAAATGAAAACTCACAGGGTAAACTTTCTCCATGACATCTCGTTCTGATTAGCCTCAGATTGACAGGGACTTGGCAGTTTTTCAAACTCCCTTCTCCTTAAGATGCTAACAAGCCACAGCAGTATAGAAACCAGTTTCCACAAATCCCAGCTTCCTTTTCTTTCTTAATAAAGCTAATTCGGGTGCAATCTCGATGGCTGCATTTTAATCAGTGGATTCCAGCTAAGGTGGATACAAGCCGGTGTTTGGAGGTTTACTGCTTACCGCTTCCATCAGTCCCTTCACTGTGGGAGATTTCAACATCAGAGCATCGAACACATCATCAGTCTCCTTCCTCACGTACAAAAGCACTAGAAGAGAAAGAAGAGGGAAGAGCCATGACTGAAGGAGCCCACATAAGATTCCGCAGCTGCCTCCAGGTACTGGAAGATGACACCATCTGTAGGCCTCAGACCCTGCCTCAGATAACACCCTGCAAGAGGGCCTGAGGTGCCGACAACATTTGACAAGGGTTTATTAATAAGATGATTCGATGAATTAAACTGATCATTGTGTGACCCCTAATAAGCTGCAAGACACTTTGACATAAATGTTCACATTTGAATTTCTTAAAGTGGGGACAAGGAGCTCTGGTGGTATAGTGCCTAAGGCATTTGACTGCTAACCAGAAGGCTGGCAGTTCAAACCCACCAGCCTCTCCTTGGAAGGAAGACTGGGCAATCTACTTCCATAGAGATGCTGCCTCGGAAACCCAAGGAGGGGTCACTATGAGTCGAGACTGCCTTGACGGCAGTGTGTTAAGGTGGGGACACAATCTCTTTACAATGTCTCTTTCTGTGATCTCTTTCTTCTATTCAATCATTTCTCTCTTCAACAAATATTACTGAATATTCATCAGGACCATGTGCTTGGAGCTGGGTTTACAGCAATGACTTACAACACAGGCCCTGTCCTTAAAGAATTCACAGTCCACTTGGAAAGGCAGGCATCCCACAAATAAACAAATAGACACGTAGTTATGAGGGTTATGAAGGAAAAGAACACAAGAGAGAGCTTACAGCCCCCTGACTTTATTAGAGCTCCAGGAACATTATTTTGAAGACGGTGCGGGCATCAATGCAAGGGAGGCAGGTGGGGAAGAGAAAGAGAGGACAGGGAGAGAAAATCCAGGCACACAATGCAGCCCGTGTAAAGGTCTGAAGGAGGAGCAGATGATATTCCATCACAGGCAGGTGGATGGAGAGGTGGGGGTCTGGGTTTGATCCCATTTCAGCAACTGCTATGGCGCCCTGTCCAAGTCATTTAACTTCTCCAAGATTCATTTTCTTGGTAAAACAGGGATAATAATACCTATATCGTAGGGTTGCTGTGAGGGTGAAATAAAATCATGTGCATGTGAAATGCTTAGCCTCATGCCTAGCACAACAAGCACCCAGTACTCAATGTGGGGTACTCAATCCAGGGTGCTATGATGAAGCAACTGGTGTGGTTCTAGTGCTCTCTGAGAAGTTTATGTAAACATAGCTTTCAGTGATCTCTCTGTAACACAACATTCTGAGAGAATTTACAGAATATAAGAGATGGTGGGGACCTTGCAGGTACCAACCCAAAGCAGAATCAAACCCATTGCCATTGAGCTGACTGTGACTCAGAGCGACTCTATGAATAGAACAGAACTGCCCGAGATGCACCTGGTGCATAGGTAACAGCCAGTTTATAGACTGAGACAGACTAGGAAGAAGGAAGATGCCGTCCACTTCTGAAAGAATTGGCCAGGGAAAACCTTATGAATAGCAAAGAAACACTGTTTGGTACATTACCGTGCAACTTTAGGAATAGTCCGTTT